CTGTATAGATGGCAGTGAATATTATATCGATGAGATACGCGCGTGATCATTCACATCGATGTTTATCTTCTTTGCTTCTGTCATAGGTTGGACAATCTTATTCTAGAAGCTATAAACAACTTGAGGGAACCTGGTGATTCTAACAAGACCACTATAGCTACCTACATAGAGGTAGTGACACTCTACTCCAGCTTTTGTATTAAGGGTCAGATTTTGAGATTTTATGTAGTGTTAAAAGCTTGTCTATTAGCTTGCATCTTTTTAAGTATTCTGGTTGTGCTGCAGTATGTCCCGATGCTATAATGTAAAATTAAGCTTCCTTGTGTAATTTTGCACTATAAATGCCATTATATTCACTCACCCCAATGCTTTGGCCACATATTGGATCATTATGTGAAAGGTGGTATTGTCCATTGGTAATGGCACTTAGATCACAAAAGTTGCTTTAATGAACTGCATTTTGCTGCCGAAACACAATATGTTTCGGGTGAATAAAATATGCATGGATGAGTAAAAACAGGATTTGATTTTTTTGGGTTGCACTAAATTTGTCTGAATTTTTTGAATTTGTTAGGCTGATATCAAAGTTTCTTGCTGGAAAAACTTCCATCTTTATAATAATTAGATCAAAATGAAGTATCATCCATCTTTATTACACTGGATGGTATTGTTTGTCGAAAAAGGCTTCAAAACTTGTTTTGATGCCACTTCAAAAGTTAGAGTGGCACCTTTTGGGTTTTTATCACTTCATTGTTACTCCTACAACCAATCTCAGAGTATTTCTCTAAGTTGCTTTTTGAGCCTCGTTTAAAAGAGGTGAATACAATATCTGAACTTGTATCAACTTATGAGTTACAAATGCACTTTGACTAAGAATATTAGCATGCTGCAAATAATGTAGTGTGGTAGATGAATCTTTTCAAGAGAATATCACGCTTGGTTACCTAAGCTAGGTTTTAATTGGTGCTTTCAAATGATAGGTCAATGAAAGGATTTCTAAAAACCACAACACATGTTGTCTCATTGCTAGTAATGAACTCCAAAGACTTACATACACAGGTCCTTTAGTTAAATATTCCGTGGTGTAGAATACCGCTATTCTGAAAACTTGACATTGCTTGTACCTAATAAATCAAGTTCTTCATCAGCTTGAGAAAGCAGCAGTCAAACCATAGCAAAAATATAAATTAAAGTTTGTTTGTAATTTGATAGTCTGTATAATCTTTTTTTATTCCAAATACTGATAGTTACAAAATTGTCTAAATTGGAGATAGAGGTAGGGTTAAAAAATTAATTGAAGTAATTGGAAATAGAGCTATTGGATTTTTATCGGACTTATTTTATTTATTAATTTTGTATATAAATGAGTAGGCTTTTTATATGGTGCAAAAGACAAAACAGAGAGGTGTGAAGTGTGTTTTGTAAATTTCTTTGTCTCAATTTTATTAAAATATTATTTTAGTTAGTAGAATTATAATGGAAGATATATAGTTCAACTTACCTTGAAATTAATGAGGCTACATAATTTGAATGATATGCTTAGTCTAATCAATCTGAATTGCTTGAATTGATTGCAGCTGCTTGGGTAAGTACTTTGTATTGCTTCTAGTTTGGTTTCCAACCAGAAGAATAATTTTGAACTTATTCTGTTGAAGTTGAATGCTGAAGTTTTTCAACTCTCTAGAATCTAGCTTACAGCATCCATGGCATGAATAATTTTGCAAAAAAGTAGTCTTAAGATATGGATGTCTGACTTTAAACTTATAGTTGATACTTTCTGTGTCTGTGTGACTAAATATAACAATAGTTTGATCAAATGCTTTATTTAAATGAAATGATGATAATGACAACACTATAATATCACATTGAATAAATCCAATCTTTGATTTCTTTAATAGCTAGCGATTAGCAAAATTGAAAAAAGGTTAAAGAGGGGTTTTTGTATAATGCAAAAAATAGGACAGAGGTGTGAGGTCTTTTTTGTAAATTTTTTTGCTTTAATTTTACTAAAATATTATTTCAGTTAGTAAAATTATAATGCAAGATATATAGTTTAACTTACCTCCAAAATTAATGAGAGCTATGCAGTTTGAATGATATGTTTAGTGTACCCACTGTGAATTGCTTGAATTGGTTGTAGCTGCTTCGGCAAGTATTTGCACTGGTTATAGTTTGGTTCCTAGCCATGAGGATAGTTTTCAACAACAAAACATTGGGAATTAAGCATGGAAGTTAGAAATAGAAATTTTTCTTAGTTTTGAGGGTAATAGAACTTGACTTCTTACGACTTCTTTATATTCTAACACTTGGTTATAGTCTGTAAACATTGGATGTATGATACAGTTTATGTTTTTTCCCTCATAGAGAAAAAGGTATGCTTTTGCTGCATGTGCACGATGCATAGAGGCACGCCGTGCACAGAGGCACACTGGTGCCTCTGTGCTGGTGCTGTGTCTCCGTGCACGAGAACGGAGGCACGTCTTGCCTCCGTCTGCGTGCACGGAGGCACGTTGCTAAGGCAGGGACCTTGCCTCAGTGCAGGAGAATGGAGGCACGCCGTGCCTCCACCCGCGTGCACAGAGGCACGCTGCTAAGGTAGTGAGACCGTGCCTCCATGCACGAGAACGGAGGCACGTCGTGCCTCCGTCCACGTGCACGGAGGTACGCTGCTAAGGGACCGACAGTGTGTCTCTGTACACGAGAACGGAGGCACATCATGTCAGCGCTTGGAAACTCTGGTGTCGCGGTGTACAATGTGGTTCCTTCGTACAGAGACACATCGTGCCTGTGTCCGTGTGCACACGGCACCGGTAGAAAGGCATGCTAGTGCTTCCACTATGTCTATGTCACAGATGGAGGCAATATAAAACTTACTTCTTTTCCTGCAGTTAAAGAGAATTAGTTAAAGTAATTCAATATCTACTAAC